GGGAGCCTGGTGATGCTTTGAATACATCTGTCACCACATCAGTCAAGTCAGATCCACAACGTTCATGATTCCTGCTGCTTCCTGGCTGTGAATTATCTGATTCCCTGGCATGTCAGCATATCAAATGATTCATTTTGAATCTCAACCTCACTGGATGTGACATTCGAATTTGACTCCTCTGCGAATCTTTACCCCAGAGCAGCTACCATGTCTCATATGAGAATCTTGCCACATCATCATAGTGATCACAATACAAAATAATGTCCTATTGTTATGACTTTATGCTTGACTGTCCAAAAACTTTCACAGCTATTATCTGACAAGCCTTTGCAATGGGAGTTAGAAAAAACAGGAGTCCCTTCTGTTTCACAGGAAGCAAAACCTCAGGGAGTTTATGTGACTTACCTAAACTCACCTAACAGATTAGAGGCTAACATGACCAGCAATTCTCCATGCTCGCAGCATGGTCTTGTCCTGCTACCCTACATGGCCTCCAGCCGTTGTGTCCTCAGGGTAGAGAAGAAGTGAGGAGCAGTGAATCGGAGTCCATCACTCACTGCTTTGTGATCTTGACAAAACCCACCTCACAGTGGTGAGATAAGGATACAGTGTCAAGCATAAAACTCCATAGGTGCTGCAGGTTAGTATCCTTGCCAGTATGAATAACTACAGACATCACTGACAGTAAGTGATGGTGGTCCTGACCAAAATGGCTGAGAGGCCATCAGGATCCTGTCTCCCCTCTTACATATTCTTTTTGAGAAAGAGGATAATTGGTTATTATGTTCCATTTTTGTCTTCTTTTGCTTTGATAAGGTAGAGAAAACTTTTGGAACGTATTCCCCAGTTTTCAACAACTGTAGACTAAATTATTATATTATATTATATTTGACACAGGGAATTGAGGGTTTTTTTTTCCCCAGAGAACTGAACTTAAGCTATACTCTTGTCCCAAATCAAATGAGTTCAGTTACTCTGTTTTGTTCCAGTAACTTTTTGACCAAATTAAGAAGACATGGTATTCTCACACACACACACACACACACACACACACACACTAGACTATTACTCAACCATAAAAAGAATGAAATAATGTCATTTGCAGCAACATGGATGGACCTAGAGAATATTATAGTGAAATAAATCAGACAGTGAAAGACAAATATGATATGATATCATTTATATATGGAATCTAAAAAATAATACAAATGAATTTATATACAGAACAGAAACAGACTCATGGATATAGAAAACAAACTTGTGGTGGTTATCAAAAGGGGAGAGGGAGGTGGGGGAAGGACAAATTAGGGGCATGGGATTAACAAATACAAACTACTGCATATAAGATAGATAAGCAACAAGGCACAGGGATGCCCATTATCTTGTAATAACCTATAATGGAATAAAATCTGCAAAAATACTGAACCACTATGGTGTGCCCCTAAAACTAACACAATATTGTAAATCAACTATACTTCAATTTAAAAAATTAGGGCTTCCCTGGTGGCGCAGTGGTTGAGAGTCCACCTGCCGATACAGACGACACGGGTTCGAGCCCCGGTCTGGGAAGATCCCACATGCCGCGGAGCGGCTAGGCCCGTGAGCAATGGCCGCTGAGCCTGCGCGTCTGGAGCCTGTGCTCCGCAACGGGAGAGGCCACAACAATGAGAGGCCCACGTACCGCAAAAAAAAAAAAAAAAAAATTAATAATAAATTAAAAATGCTGAAAAGATACACTAGATCAGATGAGCAGGTGAGATACGACCAGGCAAGGAAAATATATTAGTTGGATGAATTTCCCAGATACCTGCTTGACCTGGTAAGCTGGTCCCTGACTAATTTCTCAACCACATCTAGAAAGTTAGAATGAAATATTAAATAAAGGAATAAGTAAACATGTTGACACTCAGGGAACAATTTGCCTTAGATGATGTAATTATAACTTTCAGTTAATTACAATCACAGAGATTTTATGCCTCGTCTCACAATCACTTCCTGCTAACAACAAGTTAATTCATTGCCACTACCTTTGCACCTTTCTGTTCCACATACAACACTCACCAGAACTTAAAAAGTCCTTGGGGGAAACTGAAAAGTGAGGGAGGAGAACGAGTTACCTGTCAGATTAAGGACCATGGAGGTTCTGAGTGCATAAAAAACCCCAATAGAGGCAACATCATAGAGGATTAGCGTATTAACACAACAACCTGCATTCTCTGTACATCTAATGAGGAAAATCCTCCTCCTGCCTGCCACTGCCCCTCCCCCACCAACTCCCCGAAGCATCTGGTACCCTGGGAATTTGTTCCCACCCAGGCAGGGCAAGTGAAGCCTGACACAAAACTCTGTGAGCATCAGAGCGGCCATCTGACATGCAGAGAAATGACCCATGAGGGGAATGTAACCCAAGAAAATAACTCGTGGGAAAACAAAAATATTCCCAGCAGCACTATTTTTAAGGGAAAAAACTATAAAGAACGAAAAAGCAGACAAGTGTATAGAAGCTCCAAAAATACCATGATGGAATACTACACAGCTGATAAAAATAACAAGTTTATGGACTACGAACATGTAGGAATGTTTATATAGAGCCGTGTGAAGTGGAAAGTTACAAATAACAATGTAAAAATTAATTTCTATGTCTGTGTTTAAATCCTGAACACTGCTGTAAAAATTCTCACCACCCAAGAGAATAGAATCTTTATGAATTTATCCTATCTCAAATTAAATGGACCACATTACTGCATTTCTCTAGTAAGAACATTCTCTCAGTCTTACAACTTCTACTCACATTTGTTCCACTAGTCTCACACTTCTCAGCTCTCTCATAAGAGAATCCTAGGAGTCGTCTGTGACTCTTGCTCTGCCTGCCTGATTTTGGCAACACGATCCCTCTCCTTTCTTGTGTTCTAGCCACAAGGGCCTGTTGGATCCTTGAATTTGCCAAGTGCTCTGCTGTCTTGAGGTCTTCCATTATGCACTTCCTGCTCCCTAGAAGGCCCTTGCTTTGCATAAGTCAACTCAACCAAGTCTCATAGTTATGCCCCTCCACTGTTATCCACATGCACGTTTCCCTTCATAGCACCTAGCATGCTGTGTAATTATAGATATATTTGCATGACTAGTGGCTTACAATGTCCCCCTCCCCTAAATAAACTGTAAACTCCATGAGGAATCTGGGCTATTTACAATCATATAACTACCTAGCACTTGACAGAGTGACTGGCCCAGACTGGGTGTCTAATAAAACTTTGTGAATGAATGAATGGATGTGTGAATGAATGAATGGATGGATGAATGAATGAAGTGATGTGAATATAATTTTTTTATTGAAGTACAGTTGATGTACAATATTATATAAGTTATAGGTATACAAAATAGTGACATAATTTTTAAAGGTTATACTCCATTTATACTTATTATAAAATATTGGCTAGATATGAATATAATTTAATATTCATTAGGTTTTATTTTTTCCACAAAAATACCATGTAGCATAGACTAATGAAAATGCCTTGCACTCATTCGAGTAGTACTTTCTAATTTCAAAGCATTTTCATATACAATTTAAAAATTCTTTAGTATCCTATGAGGTAGACATTATTCCAGCTTCACATTTGAGGAAATGGAGACTTGGGGAAATGAAATAATTGGTCCAAGCTGAACTAAGTGGTAGAGAGAGGTATGGAATCTACACTTGCTTGGATTCAGGCCAGTGACTTGGACCTTCTGCCTCTGTGGCTCCAAGTATGTCACTGTGTCCACTATAGGATGCATTGGGAGCACCAGAGGGCTGGAAAGTGCAGAGGCATTATCCTGGTGGCTACTGATACTTGGGAATGATGGGAGGTGATGGGGCTACAGTCTGGGGAGAGGGTCCCGGCCCTGGCCAGGGAGGGTTGGAGTGATGAGGCAGTGGGCAGTGGGCCACAGATGTGGCTCTCAGGTCACTCTTTCACATGCAACCTGCAGTTGTTCAATGCCTCATTGTCAGTGTTACTCTGGCGATCATGCAATAGGTATATGAAACTATTGATTACTGATAATTGCACAGATGGCTCGATAGTCATCAAACTGAGATGCAACACAACAGAACCAATAGAGCATGGGCTTGGGGTCCGAACTCCTGGGCTGAACGCCAAAGGTGTGGTCAGAAAGTCAAGTGACACAGAGAAGTCAAGGAGAGTCAACATGGAGATTTCAACACCATCACTCTGGCAAAGCTAGGACCTTATTCATCATATTGTTTGTCCTATCTGAATATTTACAAAAATAGAAGCTCAAAGGGCAGAGGGGTGGTGGGAGGGAGTATGATATAAAAAGGCAAGTAACCAAATGAAGGCCTAACCCTGAAGGCAGAAAATCCTTTCTTGGGTCACATGCTATTAGTGCACCCTTTTCATCATTTCAACTTTCACACTGTGTTAAAGCCTTCATCGTCTTTTCAACCCCTGTCTACAGCAGCTTCCCATAAAGAGCTTGATGACAGCTCTATCTGTTGGGAAAACCACAGCCTCATTTTTCTCTCTCTTCAGAAGAAGAGAGAAAAAAACCTTAGAACTGTGATACTTGCCACCACTTAACAAGGTGGGCTTGCAAGGCCAGCAGTGGAGAGGCTGGTTATTTCTTCCCTGACAGCATCTGTAATTCCAGCAGCTGCCTCTAGGCAAACGGCAGGTGGTGCCTGACGTTAATTGCACAGGCCCAAAGCCGAGATTCACCCTAAACAAGTATAACTAAAACAAATCAGGAGTTGAATGTTCATTGCCCTTCTCATGCTTTTTGAATTATTAAATTACTAAATTTTTTGCATTATGCTTTTGTATTACTAAAATAATACTACAGTTATTATTAATAACATAATCACTTGAGAGGAACACTAACATTGAAACAAATCCAATAATAAATATAGCTACCATTTTTAACACCTTGTCTATGTTACATTTTTCATTTTTCACAATAACCTTTTTACTAGCAAGGAAAATGAGATTCAGACTTACCCAGTAGGGTGCGAAGTTGGAAGTTAGGAGATTAAGTCTGTTCCCAACTATGTTATTAATTAGCTGTGTGGCCACAGGCAAGTCTAGTTACCTCTCTGGGCTTCGATTTCCCTTCTGGAGACAGAAAATGAGTGAGTTAGACTTGCAGATGGTGCAGGTACCTTCTTGCTTTAAGTGTCTTCAGGCTGAATCTTATTGCTTTCTTTCATCAATGATTGTTCTAGTTCTTGTTTTGGGTTTTAGGTTTTTTCTTTCCTAATCCCCATAGTTTTCTCATCATCCAACTCTCAGCTTATCATCTCTCAGTGAGATTTCATTGACCAATCCTGCTAAAATAGCTTGTCCAGCCTCCCACTCTTTATTACAAAGTCTAAACACCTTGGCATGACACACACAACTGCCACAGACTGGCCCCAATTTTCTCCTCTGGAACCTAGTAAACAGTCAATGAATATTTGTTGATTGAATTTATAAATAAATCCAATTTATTAAAAGTTCTTTTGATTCTGTCACAGAAACCCTAGAATTGTGCTGTCCAATATGGTAGTCAATAGCCACATATAGCTATTTAAATTTAAATTAAAAGTTCAGTTCCTCAGTCTCACTGGCCACCTTTCAAGTATTCAATGCTGTATGTGGCACGGACAGTGCAGACTAAAACATGTCCATCATTGCAGAAAGTCTACTGGGGAGTGCTGGTCTAAATTCTGGCCCTTTCTCTCCAACCCCACCGTGATTCCTCATCTGGATTCTGATGTCTCCTAAGTGGCCTGAGAGTAGCCTCCTCCCATGCTAGTCCATTCTCCACTCTGCCTCATTCATTTAGTTCATTTATTCATGCAGCAAATATTTAAGGAGGACCTTTTACATGCCAGGTCTTCACAGGAGACCAAGCAGGGCACGAGTCAGACCTAGTCCTGCCTCTGTGAACTTACAGGCTGGAGATAATGTGTGTATGTCATTCTCACGCTTCAAAACTAATGTTGGGTCCTCTACCAAAGTACTCTACAGTGTTGTTCCTAGAATTCTGGGCTCTGGGGGATACAGCAGACAGAGTCAACTCTGCTCTCAAGAGGGGGTTAACTGATAGAGATGTTCCTGTGTGTGTGTGCGTGTGTGTGTGTGCATGTGTGTGTGTGTGTGTGTAAAATGGCAGGAGGGCCCATGGGCTGCACTTCTGCCTTCTAGCCCTTGAGCTGGAGGACAAATGGCCTCTTTGTGCACTAAGGTCTCAGTTTCAGCTCTCCCTTATCACTGCTCCTGCGTGTTCTGTACCTGGTCCTCTACCATATTGCTCTAATGCTGTCCCCTGTCCTCTGCATACCCTTCTCTCAGTGGGATTTTATTTCTCTTACCCTGAACTCTCATTCATCCTACCAAACCCACGTCAAGTATCATTTTCTGTGAACTCCTTCCCGGCAATCCCAGATAAGCGAGGGGATCTTTGTCCTGTGTGCCCATAGCTACTTCTTATTCATCATCATAGCCTCAATGCCTGAAATATAATAAGTCCCCAATAAATGATTTTGGACAGATGATTAATGAATGATGATTGGACGAATACATAAGTGAATAAATGTATGAATATTATGAAAGTGCCTGGCCTGTCTGCAGTTCCCCGGGGAGGATGCATTGGTTCTCAAACTTCAAAGTGGAATAAAAAGAGCATAACTATCTACTTACTCTTTTCCAAGAGAAAATGTTATTTTTCTTAACATTCATACTTTTAACCTGCTCTAAATATCCCTTCTGTTATTTTTTCCTAGAGAAGATTTTTTTTTGTCTCTGCGAGCCTTCCTTTGTGACTACCCAAAACTCAAGGATCAAATACTTCATTTCTAAATGCCACGTGTCACAGGCAGCTCTTTCTTCTGATTGGGGAATGACCTCAGTGCTGCTAGAGTGCTTGCCATTCCTCCCAACTTTCATGTTTACGACCGCTGTCAAAACTGTCGTGCGTAAGATATAAAATTTCTTCATTAAGCATTAGTACACCACTATGTGAGGGTTTTATAAACCAATCTGAAGCAGGCCTAAAATTTCTTAATTTTTCTCAGACCTTTAAAAACACAATCAAACCAAAGAGAAACCTCATGAAATAATCCCACAGAGGTTCCCTCCAGGTGCCCTAGGGTGACCCTCTGATCACCCAACCATTATTGTTATTTCTATGGTTTCTATGAAACCCCTCAACAAGCCACTTCAACAAACCAGATATTAATTAACCTTCAGTTAACTTGCAAACATTCTGAGATTCAAATTGTTTTTCTTGATACTTCAGGATATTTTAAGCGAGCAGATTAATCTTCCTCACATCTGCCCCTCCACATGACTCTGCAGACACGTCATCTGAGATGGGAACCTGGGTGTCTTCACCAAAAGTACACAACCCCAGCTGCTTCTCACTTTCCCTAGCGGCCTGAGCTCTGTTTCTTTCATTATAGGCTGGGGAAGAAAAATTGAGTTGGAAATACATCTATAATTACCATTTCTTGGAATTACTTCAGTTAAATTTGTTAGTATCAATTACACAGGAGCAATATTTCATCCTTAGAAAATCCTAGTTGCTAAAATCTTCTACTAGTCACTTAATCAGCAATACTCAGAGAAAAAGCCACATCCAGCCCTTGCACATCTAAGATTTTGGTACACAAAATTATAATCCTTGAGTTTTTTAGATTACTTTCTGGTAAACTCCTGTTCTGATTTTATCAATAGAAATGATCCAGTAATGTGCATTGCTGCGATCAAGGCTGAGTAAAGGGGGTCAGGTGTGCGTGTGTGTGCGTGCGCGCGCGCGCACGTGTGTGTGTGTGTGTGTGTGTGTGTGTGTGTGTGTGTGTATGTCTGTGTGTGCTATCCTCAGGGTATCAGTACATATCACACCAGATCAATAAAGGAGTTTTTGCAAAAAATAAAGGCTTGCCAGAGGCTCTGGAATTCCCAACTATGACTTACAACAGAGGAATTCCTTCCCAGATTGTGAAAACTTTGTTGACTTTTAACTACTAAAAAGAACTGATCTTAATGTGAGGGAAATGTTATGGGTTTCTTAGGAAAAACTGTTGTGTAAATATAGTGGTTCTGTCTTATTATCTTGGCTTAGCCTGGAAAAGCAGAAGCTAACAAAGATGCATTAACCTTTCTCAAGTATAGATAGAGGTTTAATGAGGACACTGGACGTTTGCTGTCCATTTCAAGGAAGATCAAATAAGAAAAAATGGACTTAAGTTTCAACCAGAGAGAGTATGATCAGGCTTAAGCGAGAGCTTGTTGATTAGACAGCTGGTTTATGCAGCTTCTCTAAAGAGGAGCAGGGGATTTAACAAGTACTTACTGGGTGTCTATTGCATAGAAGGCTTAGGTTGTGGAGGATGAAAAGAAAAGCACGGTACATTCAGTCTCTGCCCTTTAGGAGGTCACAATCTAGTTGGAGAGAGGAGAGAATTACTCACAAAATGACGGGTAATATAGAATAATAATGCAAGATATGGCTTGAGACAGTATACACAAGGGCCAAGGGAGTACGGGAGTTGAGCACTCTGAGCATTCTGAGTCCAGGATAGGGAGAGATCCCCACGGGCTGAAGCAACTGGAAAATCTTGGTATTAAGCCTTGGAGGATGGAAAGGGTTTTGCGAAGAGGAGAGAAGGAGGAGAAGCAGGAAGGGTATTTCCAGAGAGGTTATCAGATATTTTGAAAATAAGCTTGAAGAACAAATACATAATTGTACTTATATAAGGTACCTAGAGTAGCCAAATTTAAAAAAGGCAAAAAGTAGAATGATGGTTGCCTGGGGGAGGGCAAAGTGGGGAATTTATTCTTTAATGGGTACAGAATTTCAGTATGGGAAAATGAAGTCTTTCTAGAGATAGAAGATGATTGCACAACAATGAATGTACTTAATGACACTGAACTGCATGCTTAAAATGGTTAAAATGGTAAATTTATATTATACCCATTTTACCACAATTTTTAAAAATTGAGATAGATTTTTAGATAGATTTTTGAGAGGATGAGTTTATATTGAACTTGTGAGGTCTCTTCTTTTATGACTCCATGTTAACTGTATGTGTGGCCCATGTGACAGCAAGTGTGAAATTATTAAATATAATCCATCCCTGGGCTGTTGCACTTTAAAGGTATTTGATGGTTGTGGTCATCTTGGTCTGTTGAGGTTGCTGTAACAGAGTATCATAGACTGGATGGCTAACAGAAATGCATTTCCCACAGTTCTGGAGGCTGAAAGACTGAGGTCAGGGCACCAGCGTGATCGGGTCCTCTTCTGGTTTCAGACTTTTCCTTGTATCCTCACATGGCAGAAAGAGAGGAAGCAAGCTCTCTCTTGAGTCTCATAAGGGCACTAATCCCGTTTGTGAGGGCTCCATCCTTGTGACCTCATCTAAGCCTAATTACCTCCCAAAGGCCCCACACCATCTTCTGATATCCTCACACTGGGGTATAGGTTTTCAACATATGAATTCAGTCCATAACAGTGGTTGACTACCTAGCAGCTTTTCCCCTCCTTCTTCTTTACACACAGAAGTCCACTTCCACTAGAGAGGCCAGTTACTTTCCCAGCTTCACCATAGGTAGAACATAGGCATGTGACCCTATCCTGACCTTTGATACTAAGGAGAAATCTGCCAGGGGGTAAAATTTTGGAAAAAATTTTCCTCCCTATTTAAAAAAGAGATAAAACTCGAATGGTGTGCACTTTCTCCCTGTCTTCCTTTGGATATTTTTGTGAAGACATAATGCTTAATGCTAGATGGCTAACCTACATCCATATGGGAAAGCCTAAAGAATGACAGATAAGTCAATATGGAATCTTTACTACCTTGTTACTATATTAATCACCCTCATAAAATAGATTCCTCCTTGTTTAAGTTAATATTAGTTATTTGTTTATTTGCAGCCAAGATGATTCCAATGGACTACGGTATTACAAAGACAGCCCTACAACACATTGCAGGAAATTCGTATTCAGCTGGAGATTGTTCTTCCCTTTAAAAATTATAATTTTCTTCCATTACATGACAGGCAAAATAAAGAACATAAAGAGCAGGACAAAAAGAATAGCTAGTGCTGGGTTTGGAAAGGCATAGGACCAC